TTTCTCAGAGCATGAAAGTCAGTGTTCGTTTGAGGAAAAGGGTTCAGACTGCCAGATTAAGTGGAGGTTAAAAAAAGCTAAAATGCAGGCCTGTGGGTAGATAACCAGATGCTACAACCACCAACATTTCAAAGGTGCCATTCTTAAACAACAGCCCCCATCTAGTCATCTATGTGGATTCTTGCCCATGACTCAGGATACACCATTCCAAAGATGTCTTTCCCATTAGGCAAAGTCTTCAACATTCATTCAATCCTGGACATAGAGACAACCTCTAATTTTTGCCCAGAATAGGAAGAAGCCCACAACTTTTGCCACTACTGACCCAGTATCCCCAGTTTTAGTCCTTACTTCCACTTTTGGTTTCTCACACCAGAGAAACAATGTGGCACTCAAACATATGTATCCACATATTGAAGATATACTCCTAAGTGAAATAAATAAGTCCCACATGTGTAAATACCAAATAGTTTCCCTGGTGTGAATATTCTGCAACAATGCATAAGATTCTAATAAGATTACTGACATTTAGAAATGGGAGGAAAGGAGCTAAAGGTGTAGGGAAGGTGTGATACATAGGGGAAGAACAAAAAGGGAAAAGAAAAAAATGTGAGAGAATGAAAAGATGAAAATAAAGTGTTTGTAGATGGGGAGGGGAGGAGGGGGTGAAGGGAGGGCAGAGGTAAGGGGAAGAAAATGAGAATCAAGACTTGCCATGTAGAGGTACATGATCCCAACAATGAATGTAACTGTACTGTATCCCTAAATGTACCAATAAACTCAATAAAAAAAAACATATGTATCCAATTTATTTCACATAGGAGTATGGTCTCAAGATTCATCCATTCAGCTAAAATGTCTGGAAGCTCATCTTTCTTTATGGCAGAGTAGTATTCTTTTGTATAAAAAACCTACATCTTCTATATCTATTTGTCAGTTGATGGGTATTTGGGCTGTTTTCAAAATTTAGCTATTACAAACTATGACACTATAAACATGGGTGTGCATATATTGCTGTGGTGTGATGCATTAAATTCTTTCAGGAAGAGGAATAGCTGGGTCAAAAGGAACCTTCAGTTTTAACTTTTTGAGAAATCTCCACACTGATTTTCACAGTTGTTGCACCAGTCTACATTTCCAACAACAGTGGAGATGGATTCTTTTTTCCCCACATCCCCACCAGCATTTGTTATTGGTTGATTTTTTTTTTTTTTTGAGACAGGATCTCACTGTGTAGTTGAGACTGACCTGGAACTCATTGTGTAGCCCAGGCTGGTCTCGAATTCACAGTGATCCTCCTGTCTCAGCCTCTGGAGCACTGGGATTACAGGTGTGCACCACCACGCCCGGAGTGGTTGATTTCTTGATTAGCAGCCATTCTTTCTGGAGTGAGATGGAATGTCAGTTTTGATTTAATTTGTATTTTACAAATGACCAGTAATGTTGAACATTTTTTCATATATTTATTTGCTGTTTTTACTTCTTCATCTGAGAAGTGTATTCATTTCAGATGGATTCATTTCATTTTTGGATTGGGTTTTTTAATTTGGGAGGTCTGATTTTTAAAGTTCTTTACATATTCTAGTAATAGTCCTTTATCTGATGAATAGCTACTGAAATTTTTTCCCTTGATGTTGGTTGTCTCTTCACTCTTTTACTAGTTTCTATTTCTGTGCAGAAGATTTTTAATGATATGAGGTCCTAGTTGCTGATTCTTTGTAATATTTCCCATGCAGTCTGGGTTTTGCTCATGAAGTCTTTGCCTACTCCTATGTCCTCAAGTGTTCTACCTATTTTCTCTTCCAGAAGATTTAGTGTTTTCATTTTAATATTTAGATCGCTGATCCATTTTGATTTTAGGTTAGTGCATGGTGAAAGATATGGGTCTAGTTTCAATTTTGGAGATGTGAAAAGCAAATTTTTCTAGCACCATTTATTAAAGAGGCCATCTTTCTTCCAGTGAATATGTTTGGTTTCTTTGTTAAAGATTAGGTGGCTGAGTATGTCTGGAGTTGCTTCTGCATCTTCTAGTCTATTCCATTGATTCCCCTCTGTCTCTCTCTCTCTCTCTGTCTCTTAGAAGAAATATCTTTTCAAACCATTTGAGCTTTTTAAAATTGCATTGTCTCTTTATTGTTGAATCAGGAGATCTATTTTATATGATAGCTAATAAGTCCCTTATCAGAAATATTATTTGCAAACATGTTCTCTGATTCTGTAAGTTTTTCTAAGTAGTAATTCATGTTTAGTCAATACTTGATTATTGAAGGATTAAAGCTTTGCCTCCCTCCTGGATTTGATCCAATTTAAAAGTGTAAGTACTTGCAGCAGACTCTAAAATGAGAGTGTAGAGGAAGGAAAAAGTCCAGTGTCTAGCAGAGAGTAATGTGTTAACTTTGGCAAATGAATGAATAAAATGTATGTATTTACTTCTGGCTCACAGCACTATTTTGACTTGTGTTCCTCTACTAATATTGAACAGTGGTGTTCATTTCATGGTCTGAAGGTCTGCCAAGGAGCTATGAAGTGTTGGAGAGGTATATCTCTTTCCATGTGTATGTACTAAGCATGGCCAGATGGGAGTCTGCAGGTTTATCATGGTAAGAAGCAGTTTTATGTTCTGCTAAGTGTGAGACTCAATTATTTTGGGAGTTCAGTATTAATGCTGTAGTGTTTTCAATGATTCTCAGCATTGTTACAGTGACTGTTTACTTGGAGGTTCTTACATTAGTACTGCTAATCTGAGAGTGGTTGCATGAAGGTAGTCCGCTTTCCTCACTGACCAAGAACATAGTGGTAAAGGGGGGGATCGGTATCTAGGAGGGAGGATGACCATATTTCCTGCACATCTGATTATCTGAGTCCACTTTGGAGATATCAGGGCTGATAGACAGCCCTAGTCATTGTGCCTACATTTGCATTTGCAGATCCCTTATAACAGTTTATCAAGATCATTTTATAACTGAAGTTTGATATAATCCCATGTATACTATGAGTGTTCAAAAAGGAAAAATCAGAATGATTCCAACTAGGATGAATCAAAGAAATTCTAGTTGGGACTGCAGTTGAAGCTGAGAAATGAAAGAAGGAATATGTATAAAGTAAATGCATTGGGTAAAGTTTTCCAAAGAGAAACAAGGCACTCACCTGTAAATGGATATAAACAAGAGTGTACCTTTACACAGGCCGAGCTGGCTGGACTGCTCATGTTACTCAGCTCAGTTACCCACTTAGTGGACACAAACAAAATAACTGCCAGACATAGGGACACAGGCACTTGCTAACTAGTGAAACATGTATGTCATTCTGGGTATGTAAATAATACCATTAGAGAAGAGGCAAAGGAGATTATTAAAAACTCATAAATTTACGGAGTATCTTAGTCCTTTCTGGCTGCTATAGCCAAATACCACAGACAAGGTAATTTATAAACAGCAGAAATTATTGCTAACAGTCACAGAGGCTGGAAAGTACAACCAAGATCAAACTACCAGAAGAATTAGTATCTGATGAGGGGTGATTTCTCATAGATGGAGCCTTCTACCTGTGTGCTCACATGGCAGAAGGGGCAAAGAAGCTCCTTGACCTCTTTTATAAGGGTACTGATTTCACCCATGAAGGCTCCATCCTCATGGTGCAATCATCTCCTAAAAGGCCCTACCTCTTAAAACAACTGCATTAAAGATTAGGCTTCCATATACCTAATATGTTGGGGGTGGCAAACAGATAGAATTAATAGGAACATGTTTGTTGTCTCAAAGCCACCTATAATATCATGTTAGTATTTATGAATGCTTTTGTTCTTACATAAATGCAAGCACTTTTAGTCTTACAGGGCTGCTTGTCTTTCCTAAGAAAGAATCTGTTTCATCAACTTAAATTTCAGAGGTGAAGTGATTCTGTTCTGGATGTAGGAAAAGAAGGTCACAGATGTTTAGATCACTGTACAAGCTAGGAAATAAATTGGGTACTTCATATATGTAAATTCTTTTAACTCTTATATGAACCCTATAAGGTGGGGATTATTATAATTTTATAGATAGAAGGAAGTTGTACAAACCATTGAGCTGGTAATGGCAGAATAAAACAATTCCTGCTGTAATTTGGAGCAACATTTATTCAGCTATATCATAGTCTTAGCTCTACTTGATTGAGAGTAGTGGTCTAGAAGGAATCTAAGCCCATGGTCAGTCATTCTGTCTGATTCTGGTGGAGATGAAGGTAGTGGCATCTAATAGAGAATGGAAATCATGGTAGAAAGAGTGAATTGTAACAACCCTTGATTCCAAGGGATGGCTTTCTGTGACACAAGGCAACTAATGATAAATTTTAAAAATACCCCTTCTTACAACTGCAGTTTTAGAATGTTTTTCTCCCCCCCTTTTTTATTACAAATTTGATATTAGCCATGCTAATTTTTGTATGCCCTCCTCCTCCCTGTGACTGTCTGATTTTCTATTTTATAAAGGGTTTCCTTCCTTAAAATGATATCTTCCTAAAGGGAGAAACTTTCATTCAATTAAATGTGTACTGCAGTGGAAATCCGTTTTTGGAGTGAGTGGCCAATAATCCTATGATTAGCAGATTGTTAGGTTCTAGATAAGGATGAGACAACTTTGATCACCACAGACAGATGAAAGCAGGATCAGTGTTATTCTTATGAAAAGGATGAAAATCAGATTTATACCACAAGCCATGATTCTTGTTTTAGTTTTATGATTGGCAAATATTCCAGTTTTCTGCTTTTATATCTGTTTTTAAATTTTCAATTCTTAGGTTTGGGTTAATAGATTTAAACATTTGATTTTTACATATTAAAAAAGAATCTCTTCATTTTATTTTGGAAATGATAGCTATAATGTACCTATCTGAGTTTTTATTAGGTTTTCACATACATGAAAACATCAGTCTTCCAGTAGAGTCCTAATAAGGCTCACCATTTTGCACAGTGACACTTGGGGAAAATTTTGGTTCTGAGTTCTTATTGATACCAAACTTACCACACCACTTGACTTTCCAGTTACGATTAGCATCAACTCCTCGGCAGTGAAACTTTGAGTTCCTTGACCTTGTTTTTCTCCAAAACCGATCCTATACATAATTAAGAAAACAGGTAAGAAAAAAAGTACCTAAAAGTTTATTCATGTGCATTTTAGTAGCTCAATCAGTGAAGGGGTCATCTCGCTCAGAGAGTTTGTCCATGAATAGATAAGCCCAGGGGACTGGATTAGCTGTGGAAACCCAGGTTTATGTTCCAGCTTCTGCCATGCACTTTATGCCTCCTACCTTCTCTTGTCCTCCTTTCTTCACAGGCAAAGGTGAATTCGTTGTACTAGAACTATAATTTTTTAAATGATTTATTTGGAAAGTACAATCTTTATTTATATGAAATCTTATGCTAAGACAAAATATGAAAATGAAATAAAAAGATTCATGCTGTAGCTAAGGAGGAAGTGAGGTCCTCATTGTACCCCTGGATTTACTCAGTGGGCTGCCCCCCAAGTACTGTCCTGGTCTATCACTTATTCAGCCCTCTTTTCAATCAGATAGGCAAAGCCACTTACTTGTGTCCAGCTAAAATGGTATCCATCAATGTTAAACACAGGCATGATATAGAAATACAGGTGATTCAACAGTTTTCTCATGGCTGGGTCAGTCCTGTATGTTAGCAGAGCCTGAAAGACAAAGGAGACTTTCTTAAAATAAATTAGTACCAATTAAGAAAGAAAAAAACACTATGAGGAATCTCCGCTACCCATGAGAAATACCAAAGTCACTGGGTTAAAAAGGAATAAGCTAACGTGAATTAAACTATTTGACATAACACATTCTTCCTTGAGAATTTTGTTTGAATTAAACTATACTATCAATAATATTTTAGCAAAGCTGGCAACACAGATGCAGTGGGCAGCTCCTACAGTATTTTGGATGTGACTAAATGTTTAGGCAGATGATGAAAGTAACCATTACAAACATGCTTTAAAAATAATCAATTTATTTTAGTTTCTACATAATTTTGGACAAAATAGTTACCTCCATATATCTATAGCCTTACATGATGCACCATAACACAGACCCAGCTGACTGTTTATGACTAATTAGCACCACCTTTAATTCTTGAAATTTACTATATGGAGATCCCATTCTTCCCTCCTGAATTTTTCATGGGAAGTTTAATAGATAATACATCTTTGCTATCCTTAAATATTGTGGCACCTTTGAAGTCTTGTCCCTGTGATTGGGTTTTGCTAAATTATGTCTGACCTCAAGTCTGAAGATTGTGCACTAAATGTTTGGATACAAATAGGAAAAAGTGTAGTACATATTAAGTCAAGCCAAGAAAACAGACATCTTGAAATACTACTTCTATGGAATGGACTTTTTAAAAAGTTCTTTTTGATGTATTTTTATCAATGTGTATAATAGCTTGGAGGAAGACAAAAGAAATTTATAACAATGGTTAGGTGGAATAGGGGACAATGTATGGGAAGGAGTCTTATTTTTAATTTTAATTCATTTAGATCGTTTAAATTTTATCACATTAAAATCACAATTTAAAGTAGTTTTCTTAAAGAATTCCATTTTATTGAGGTCTCTTTGACATACAAAAAGCAGTACTTATTTAATATACACAACTTATGGAATTTAGAATGAAGCATACTCTTGTGAAAACATCACCATAATCTATGCCATAAACGTATCTATCATTTCCATTCTCTCCACCTCCTTTATCTTCTGTGTGATAAAAACACTTAACACAGAATATGTCCTTTGAGCAAAATTTTAAATATACAATACAGTATTGTTAGTCATAGGCACTATAGTGTATAGAAGATCTCTAGACTTACTTGTTTTGTAAAATAAAAAACTTTGTATCCTTTGACAATACTAATCCATTTGTTTCTCTCAATTTAATCCTTAAAATGTCATTCTTACATCTACTTAAGTAGAATTTATGAATGTGTAATAAGCAGTATTTTGTATGTACATGTTGAAAATTCTGTTTATAGAAAAGAATCTGATAATATAGTGTTTTAAAGAAACTATCACTATATTACAAATTATATTGTAAACATAGGGGTAGTCTCAAGAATATGAATTAAATACAAATTTTATTATATATAATTCAAATATTCACGATATTAACCTACATTTTTAAATGTTAATGTGATTCTCTCTTGGTCTCTTTTTAAAGTATCAATAATAATTTGTTGCCAACAGATCAATAGAGGTTTCATGTATATGCCAAATTTCTACTAATTATGTGATGGCTCAGAGTTAAGGGAAATATCTAGTATGTGATCATTTAAAGAATTCTGAAATTTTGTTTTTCTCTAATACTATAGGCAGAGCTTCTTCAATACTTGGAGGAAGTCTACAGTAGGGAACAGGAAGGGCAACGCTATGTGGTTAGCTATATCCCTCCCTTACGATTGTGAGCAGGTCACTGTACAGAAAGATGAGATGGCAGGAAAGGATCCAGGCAAAAAGATAGGAAAGAAATGATAGGAAAATGTCACAGTAATTTCTCTCTTTCCCTCCTGGCCTTGGGGGGCAGCTTATATGTCTCAGTCTAGCCTGGGGAAGTCTCATCTTTTCTGAGCACAAACCATGCTAGTACCTAAATGGCTAATCATACTAGTAATCTATTTGGAAATATTTTCATTTTATTTAGCTTTCTCCATCTCAAGTAATCTTCAGCCTTTTCTTTATTCATTTGTCTGTTGACAGACACTAATGTTGTTTCCATATCTTATCTATTGTAAATAATACAGCTATGAAGATGGGAATGGAATCATCTTTACAATTGTATTAGATCTGTATATTGTTTTGAGTAATATTGACATTTTAACATTATTTATGACCTATGAACATAGGCAGTCTTTTAACTTATGTTTTCTTCAATTGATTTCATCAATATTTTATGGTTTTCAGTAAATAAATCTTTTACTTCCTTGGTTAAATTGATTCCTATTTTTTGATGACATTGTAAATGGAATTTCAGCTTATTAAAATCTGATAAGTTGTCACTTGCATATAGGATTGCTTTGATTTTCTATCTTGCAAATTTACCAAATTCATTTATTAGGGGGATGTGTGTGTGTGTGTGTGTGTGTGTGTGTGTGTGTGTGTGTGTGTGATATCTTCTAGGTTTTCTACAAATATCATTATGTCATCTGCAAATATAGATAAATTTACTTTTTCTTTCTGATTTGAGTGCCCTTATTTATTTTAGGAATCTGATTGCTTTTGCTATTTCAGTACTATTATGAATATAAGTGGCAAGAATGGGCATCTTTGTCTTGTACTAGACCTTAGCAGAAAATTTTTCCTCTGATACCCTGTTGATTATGTCCCTGCCCTCCCTTTACCCACTCCTCCCCTTACCATTTTTAAATCAAGAAAGAATACTGAACTTTCTCAAAAGCTCTTTCTGTGTCAATTGAGATGATCATGTCACTTTTTTTGTCTTTTAATGTGCTATATCACATTGGTTGATTTGTGTATGCTTAAACAAATTTTGCATATCAGGTATAGATTCCTATTTGATTATGATATATAACCATTTTGATTTATTACTGAGTTAAATTTGCTAATTTTTAAAGTGATTTTTGCATCAGTGTTCATCAGATATATGGGACTTTAGTTTTCTTATGGTATCATTGGCTTAGGTATTAAGGTGATGTTGACCTTATGAAATGTTTTCAGAAATAGTGCCCTAAAGAACCATATTTAGAAGAATTTAAGAAGTTTGGCAATAATTTTTTTAATATTTGGTGGAATTTAGCCATAGAATCATCCTGGGAATTTCCTTGTTGGAAATTTTAGATTACTTCTTCAGTCTTCTTGCTAGTCATCTGTTCAAGCTTTCTATTACATGATTCAAACTTGGCAGGTTATATTTTTCTAGCATTTTATTTCCTTTAGGTGATCCATTTTTGGGTACTTATTTGTAAAATAATTTCTTGAATCATTTTTATTTCATATGTATTTGTTATAATGCCTCCACTTTTATTTTTCATTCATTTGAACTTTCTTTTCTTAACTAGACTAAGGATTTGTTGATTTTATTTTTTGAAATATTCAGCTTTGTTTTCATTGATATTTTCAATCACTTATGTGTTTTCTATTTATTTGCATTGTGTTTTTTAATATTTTCATCTATCTGTTAACTCTGGATTTAGTTTTTCTTTTTAAGCTTCTTGACATAAATATTAGGCTATTTGGGATCTTTCTTCTTTTTTAATGTAGACATTTATTGTTATAACCTTTCCTCTGTAGGACTGCCTTCACTGTATCACATACATTTCTGTACATTGTATTGTCATTGTCATTCATAAAAAGATACTTTAAAAATGTTCATTTTGATATCACCTTTGATAAATTGGTTATTCAGAATTTCATTTACAAATTACAATATATTTTAAGCAAATAGAGAAAATACAGTGAAGATGATACCTGTATACCCACCAACACATCTATCTTTGCATATTCAGCAAATTTTAAAAAAAGATATTAGGTCAATGTAGATAAAACTAAAAGCTCCTTTATTTTTGTACTGGGGATTGAACTCAGGACCTTGAGCTTGTGAGGCAGGCAGTGGAACCACTGAACTAAATCCGTGGCTCTACAGGCTCCCTTTTAAAAATGACTCCCTGATCCCATTTTCTTCTCTTCCATGAAGGTAGTTCCCATCCCAAAATTGACAGTGTAATTTTCATGCAAGATTGCATGGTTTGCTATACACGTGAATTCAGGGGTAGCATATAATATTGTATGTGTGCTTTAAAAGTTTATGCAGATGAGATTATGATGTTTCAGTCTTTTTTCCCATGTATTTTTGACATTAAGTTGAGGGTTTTTTCATTATGAATGCTAAATTGTATTTCAGTGCAGGTAAATATACAATATATTGATCCCTAATTTTGTTGATGGATAGTTAGCTTGCATTTGATATTTCATTGTTATGTTGAAAAGAATATTGTTGCACATTCCTTTTAGACATTATGTGAGAATCTGTTTATGATACATATCTAGAAATACATTTGCTGGGTCATGGATTTACATGCCCTCAGTTTTTCTAACAGTTTTCATTTTTAATCTAAAGCAGTAAACATTCTCACCTGAGATGGATGAGAGGGAGTTAATATACTACCTCTGTCAAATAGCAGCAAGTTTCCCTATGTGGGTAGAATTGCTCTACTGCAGTTTGGTTTCTGTTCACTCAGCAAATACATACCATAGTAGATATGGCATCTGATGTATCTGGCAGGATTTGTCTCTGTTTTGTTCTAGTTGAAAATTATCTTTGCTAATCCTGATCATTCTCTCTTCACATTAATTTTGAGACCAAGGTCAATCCCATTAAAGACATTCAATTTGACACTTAGGTTTTGTTTGTTGTCATTAACAGTTATTGAATTTGAGCAACAACTCAAATTTCATGTATGTAGACAATCATTTGGTTGTTGTTATGATGCATTTGAATAAATTATTTTCTATTATTAAACTATATGTATATTTCTGGAATAAGCCTATTTGCTTACAATGTATCTTGAAATCTTGGCTGGATTCAGACTGCTAATATTTGAGTCTGCATTCCTACATGAGATAGGCCTGTAACTTCCTTTCTTATTTTGTCCTTGTCTGATTTCTGTAATTTCCAATTCAGATC